GTGTGTGTGTGTGTGTGTGTGTGTGTGTGTGTGTGTGTGTGTCACCTGGCGTTGGGCGTGAGGCTGCGCAGCACGTGTGTGAGTGAGCTGAGGGCCAGTGCTCCGGTCTGCTGCACCAGCAGTGAGTTCTCGTATGACGTCTCTTCAGTGTACGGAAGGTATGTGGTGGTTTCGTACCACAGCCAGTTGAACATGCTCATCTTCGCTTGATCCCAGACTGAGCAAACACAGACGAGGAGAACATTACAAGCCCATAATACCAGTGATCAGCATCACCTAAAGCTGAAGCATGAGACTGACTGAGTGTAGCGTTGATGTGGTCGATGGAGGCCAGCAGGTGCATGTTGGGAAGCGCCGCCAGCTGCCCCAGTGCCTGCTGGTTCCTGTCGCCCCTCAGCATGGGCCCGTCGATGTTATGGATGACCAGGAAGACGTGATTGCTCGGGTCTGGAAGACAAACACGCGGCTTACAGCCTGGAGACGATCAGAGGTGAGCTGAGAGACGTCACACGTCAGCCTTACCCTCTCTGAGAGTTCTGATGATGAAGTCGATCTGGTCTGCAGGATTACGGAAAGTTCCCTCGTGTCCGAACACGTCACAGGTGAGGGAATTGAGGATCTGTCAGATTACAGCAGCATTCAGACGATGTCAATCAAAGCTGTTATCAAGGAACGCTATCAGCTGCTGCTGAGAATGCTTAAATATTTATCATTATAGTTATTATGTGACCCTGGAGCACAAAACCAGTCTTAAGTGTCAATTTTTCAAATTAAATTAATTAATTATTAATGAATATTGTAATTCCCTATTTTTCTTTACATTACTATTATCATCAATATTGGACTATTTTAATTATTGGTGTATGAGTGCAGAAAGTTATTTCGTGTATTTCTCAGTTCAGACAATCACATAATAACATTTTCATGTCAGTTTCTGCCCTTTATAAATCCAGATTTGTTCCTCACTTTTGATGCATGATGAATTAATGGAATTTAGGATCAAATCTAATTGCATGTGCATCTTATAAATGAGGCCCCTGGTTCTGATTTTGGACTCCAATTAATTCAATTAACAATTGTTTTAGTACTTTTTAAGAACGACCAGATATATGGTGGCAGTGTGTGAGTCTGTTTGTTTGAGTGTGTGTGTGTGTGTGTTTGAGTGAGTGAGTGAGTGTTTATGTGTGTGTGTGTGTGTTAGTGTGAGTGTGTGTATAGTGTTTGTGTGTGTGTGTGTGAGTGAGTGTGTGCATTGTGTGTGAGAGTGAGTGAGTGTGTGCGTGTGAGAGTACGTGTGTGCGAGTGAGCGTGTGTGCGCGTGTGTGTGTGAGTGAGTGTGTGTGTGTGAGCGTGTGTGAGTGAGTGCGTGAGTGAGTGAGTGTGTGATTTGAGTGTATGAGTGAGTGTGCGTGAGTGTGTGTGTGTGAGTGTGTGTGCGTGAGTGCGTGAGTGAGTGTGTGTGAGTGAGTGTGTGTGTGTGAGTGAGTGAGTGAGTGAGTGTGAAAACTCACATTTTCATTTTAGTTATTGTTGTTATCTTTATATTTATCATTATTGTAAGCATTACAGTTATTTTTATAGTGATATTTATTGTTACAGTTCAGTATCACCATATTTTGTTATGTTATCATTACAGGTATTGTTATTATAGTTAGTTATAGTTAAGAGTTATCGTTATAACCACTGTTATAGTTATCGTTAGAGATATCTTTATATTTATCATTATTGTTATAGATAGCGTTTCAGTTATCATTATATTTATAGTTAGTGTTATATTTAATGTTATAGTTATCACTGTTTTTTTAATGTTTTGTTATATTTATTGTCATAGCTACTGTTACAATTATTGTTATACTTATTGTTAAAGTTATTACATTTTGTATCATTACATACCTTTGTAGTTGTAGTTATTATATTTATAGTTTTAGTTATAGTTTGTGGCACGAACGGGACTTAGACAGTGAACAAACTGAAACATCACACTGAGTTTGTTATATTAGTCGATATCACAGTCATAACGACTGCTGTTTTGTCACATGATGCTTTCACTGTATGACAAAAGCAGCATGAAGGTTGTGCAAAACATCTTTTTTGTTGCATAATAAAGTCATTCACGATGACAGAGGTTTCATGTGTGCGTGAGAGAAGCACAGCAGCAGCGAACGAACCGACTTGAGGGTCATACTGGGGAAGAAGCCATTGACCACCACATGATCGTAGTCACAAAGCATGGATGTGCGGAACTTCTCCAGCAAGAGCTTCTTGGAGCCCAAACCGTAGATCAAGATGTTAAAGCCCATGCTGAAATATTCATGAACAGAGAAACACAAGATGAATATGTGCATCTTCATCATCCTCTCACACACACACACACACACACACACACACTCAACTGCAGCTGCAGCATCCACTGGTTGAAGTTCTTCTCGTGTTTTGCATTGAGCTGTTTAATTTCCTCTGCGAAGCGTGGCTGGTTTTTACCCAAGAGGCTGAGCAGAGTTTCCTATAAAACACAATTGAACACCTCCGTTAGATCTCAAACAAGATCCCACAATCACAGACAGATGAAGATCACTGACCTGGTCCAGTTTGGGCATCTGGAGTTTCTGGAGGGTCCGATCGGACGTGAGAACCTTAGAGCTGCTGTGAGCTTCAAAATACTCCTCCACCAGATCAGACTGCAGGAGAACAACCACACAACAAGAGAGATGTTCAGAGTAGACTTGATATTTTCTGAATTTTTTCGGAAATGCAAAACGTGCTGCTGTGATGCTACACTGGAAAAAAATTTGTCGGAGAAAGAATTTTCACTCAGAAATTGCTGGTAACTTTTAAAAATAATTACAAAGAAATGGAAGTAACACTAAATTCAATAAGAAATTTTTAAGTTAGAAACGTCAATAATTTGTAGGGCTAGGGCTGTGCAATTAATCGAAATACAGTTTCGATTTCGGCCTCCAACGATTATGAAAATACAATAATCGAGATAAAACGATTATTGCGCCCCATTCCACTCTCTTTCTATCGGTGCGCTTTCGCTCCTCCATAAAAGCCCAGTTTCACGTGAAAATCAGTCAAATCATGTAACGTGACTTTTGCAAAATGGGACGTGTGTAACAGTAAATTGAATCAGTGCGGCTCTTAAAGTGACAGCAGCCTAATCTTCCTGCTGCGACTGTGTGCTTAATATTAATCAAACAACAAAAGACAAAGACAAAATCACTCACTTTTTGTAGCTTTAATAAGTAACAAATTAAGTTTAATTCTTACAGTGAAGACTATGTTGTTTTATTTTAAATTAGATTATTTATATATGTCGATCGCTATGTTTAAATAAATCATTCATTTAAGGTTTTGGTCATACGGCCCATTTATAATCATGTTAAATAATCCTGATTACAATATTGACCAAAATAATCGTGATTATGATTTTTGTCATAATCGATCAGCCCTATACCACATAGACCAACCGTTAACGATCTGTCCGACACAGACTGCATGACTTCGCCACTTTCTGTGGATTTTTTGTTGGTTTTTCCTCAACTAGCGACTAATAAAAAATTTGGTCAACCAAGTCTCTTCTCGTCAACTAATGGTTAGTCGACTATTAGGGGGCAGCCCTAATAATTTGTTTTATTTACAACTTAAAAAAAAAATACAAATGACATTGTAGGTTGTTTAACATTTATGTTTATCATTATAGTAGCATTTATCACGTTATCGTAAAATTTGTCATTACAGCTAAATTTATCAGTCATTGTTAAATTTGTCATTATAGCTGTTTATCAGTTAACGTTAAATTTATCATTATAGTTACGTTTATGATAGTTATCTTTCAATTTGCCATGATAGTTACGTTTATCATAGTTATTGTTAAATTTGTCATTATAGCTGCATTTGTCATAGTTATCGTTAAATTTGTCATTATAGCTACATTTGTCATAGTTATCGTTAAATTTGTCATTATAGCTACATTTGTCATATTGTTAAATTTGTCATTATAGCTACATTTATCAGTTATCGTTAAATTTGTCATTATAGCTACATTTGTCATAGTTGTTAAATTTGTCATTATAGCTACATGTATCATAGTTATTGTTAAATTTGTCATTATAGCTACATTTATCAGTTATTGTTAAATTTGTCATTATAGCTACATTTGTCATAGTTATTGTTAAATTTGTCATTATGGCTGTTAATCACAGTTAACATTAAATTTGTCATTACAGCTAAATTTATCAATCATTGTTAAATTTGTCATTATAGCTGTTTATCAGTTAACGTTAAATTTATCATTATAGTTACGTTTATGATAGTTATCTTTCAATTTGCCATGATAGTTACATTTGTCATAGTTATTGTTAAATTTGTCATTATGGCTGTTAATCACAGTTAACATTAAATTTGTCATTACAGCTAAATTTATCAATCATTGTTAAATTTGTCATTATAGCTACATTTGTCATAGTTATCGTTAAATTTGTCGTTATAGCTACATTTGTCATAGTTATCGTTAAATTTGTCGTTATAGCTACATTTGTCATAGTTATCGTTAAATTTGTCGTTATAGCTACATTTGTCATAGTTATTGTTAAATTTGTCATTATAGCTACATTTATCATAGTTATCGTTAAATTTGTCATTATAGCTACATGTATCATAGTTATCGTTAAATTTGTCATTATAGCTACATTTATCATAGTTATTGTTAAATTTGTCATTATAGCTACATTTATCATAGTTATCGTTAAATTTGTCATTATGGCTGTTAATCACAGTTAACATTAAATTTCTTATAATAGCTACGTTTGTCAGTTAACGTTAAATATGTCATTATAGTTACGTTTATGATAGTTATCTTTCAATTTGCCATGATAGTTACATTTGTCATAGTTATTGTTAAATTTGTCATTATAACGATATTTATCATAGTTATTGTTAAATTTGTCATTATAACTACATTTATCATAGTTATCGTTAAAATTGTCATTATGGCTACGTTTATCATAGTTATTGTTAAAATTGTCATTATAGCTACATTTATCATAGTTATCATCAAATTTGTCATTATAGCTACGTTTGCCATAGTTAACGTTAAATTTGTCATTACAGTTAGGTTTATGAGTTATATTTCAATTTGTCATAGTTACGCTTGTCAGTTATTGTTAAATTTATAATTATAGCTACGTTTATCATAGTTATCGTTAAATTTATCATTATAGCTACATTTATAATAGTTGTCGTTAAATTTTCATTATAGCTACATTTGTCATAGTTAACATTAAATTTGTCAGTTTAGTTCATGATAGTTATCGCTAAAATTGTCAATATATTTACGTTTATCATAGTTATCGTTAAATTTATCATTATAGCTACATTTATAATAGTTGTCGTTAAATTTTCATTATAGCTACATTTGTCATAGTTAACATTAAATTTGTCAGTTTAGTTCATGATAGTTATCGCTAAAATTGTCAATATATTTACGTTTATCATAGTTATCGTTAAATTTATCATTATAGCTACATTTATAATAGTTGTCGTTAAATTTTCATTATAGCTACATTTGTCATAGTTAACATTAAATTTGTCAGTTTAGTTCATGATAGTTATCGCTAAAATTGTCAATATATTTACGTTTATCATAGTTATCGTTAAATTTATCATTATAGCTACGTTTATGATAGTTATCCTTAAATTTGTCATTATAGTTACTGTTATTATTATAGTTATCATTTTATAAGTTTCATTTATCATTACAGCTTTTGTTATCATTACATTTATTATAATATTTAATATAGTAGTTATTACAGTTACTGTTATTATATTACTTACTGACTTACAGGTTGCTAGGGTGTTGAGGGTGGTTGCTAAGGTGTTTTAAGTGCAAGAAACAGGTTTTGTTTTGTTAGTCATAAACTCTTCCTGCTCTGGTTTCAGGCTCATCTGGACCCTCATCCAGACGGTCTGAAGGTCAAAGGTCAGGATGAGACTCTCACCTCTGCTGCTTTCTTGCCCTTCTTACTGGGCGTCTTATAGAGCGCAGCAGCGGACGTGTTTTTACTGGGTGTTTTGGGCTGGTCGACCCTCTTCCCCTCGTGTTCTTCAGCATCATCATCATCCTCAGAGTTCGAGGGGGAGAAATCGCTCTCGCTGTCTGAACGCAGGTTCGGAGCTGCATAATAATTACAACAACAACACGTTAATAGATGAAACGGACACCTGTGAGACCCACGGATGACGAGAAACAGGAAATTAGGGCTGCCCTCGACTAAAGAATTTTCTGGTCGACTAGTAGTCGTTCATTTTAAGCATTAGTCGACTAATCTCACATTTATTAATAAACAATTTAAATCATTATAATGAGACTTCAATTGCTCACAAAGCATAATAAGCGCTCAAGCACACGCATAAAGCTTGTCACAGCACACCAGCAGAAGTAGGCTAATGATTATAAATGTGTCAGGAAAAACAGTAAGGAGGCTGCATTACCATTTTAATAACTTATAGGTAAACTAGTGACTGGTGGTGGATGAGGAGGTACCCCCTCACAATGTAAAGTGCTTTGAGTGCTTAGAAAAGTGCTATGTAAAAACTCATAATTTATTTGAAAGTAGGCATTTCACTCTCTATAGATATATTTTTCATGTCTGTAAGGCAAGTATACACGGAGTTTCACGCACAAGTTCACGGAGACCGAGACGGCAGAAAGCACATCTTGTTTGCTTTCATTATTTTACAAAAGCGCAATGTTTTGAAAGATGCATTACTTTTATCTGTATGACCAACGTGACTTCGCCTGTGGACTTTTTTTTTTTTTTTTCTGTGACGAAGCGACTAATAACATTTTGGTCGACCAAGCCTCTTCTCGTCGACTAACGGTTCTTCGACTATTAGGGGGCAGCCCTACAAGAAATACACATTTACAAACAAATCCATAATTCATGCACTGCAGAAAAACTTTTATACTCATGACATCAGATTAACTCTTATTGGGTCTTATTGGGAATGATTCACTAGTGCATGTTATTCTAAAGACATATTCTGTTTAATATCCTCTTTCACTGTTAAAAAAATGCCACAGATAGATAGAACTTATAGTAATAAAATATAATTATGAATGTCATGTAATGTTTAGTTTAAACAGTTGTTTTAACCAATTATATACTATTACTAATGCCCTGCATATTAGAAACATTACTATTTGTTAGAAGAATTTAAAAGGTAGAGAAAATATGACTTTAAATAAATGTAAAAAAAAATATATATATATTTTGTTAATATAAATTCAATTGTTTAATTTTCTTTCAATTGCAATAAATATAATAATCTTTAATATTAATAATTTATTATAATGTGATAATTATACAAATAATGATTTGTTAGTAAGACTTATTTGCAAAACTAAATGCATAATTTTAGGCAATTTATGTGCATTTATTCTGGAATTTAAAGTTAACTTTATTTGCCTATTATTTAGTTATTATTCTTTTACATTTTGTTAGGATTTATTTATTTTTGGGAAAAGACAAGTAAAATTTTGTTTGCTTTTTTCTATCGTCATAAATCTAATAATTGTTGCATTAATATGAATACAATATTAATAATTTATTATAATTTGATAATTATACAAATATTCATTTGTTAATTATAATACTTTTATTTGCAAGCCTAAATGTATGTTTAGGTAATTTATGTCTGGAAATTAAAGTGAACTCTATTTACCTATTAAATTTTGTTAATATTTATTTATTTGTGGAAATAGATTAATGTTGTTTACTTTACTACTGTATTAAATATATTATTTTACATTAATATTAATAAATTATTAATCATTTATTGTAATCTAATAATTACGCAAATAATGATTTGTTAATTAGAAGACTTATTTGTAAATGCATAATGTTTATGTAATTTATGTGCATTTATTCCAGAATTTAAAGAGAACTTTATTTGCCTATTTAATTATTGTTCTGTTAATTTTTGTTAGTATTTATCTATTTTTGAAAAAAATTATTAATAAATATTGTATGGTATATAGTCCATTATTTATTTTTTGCTCTTTTGGTGTGTTACTGTCATTATATTGTCCTCTTATTGTTAAAAAAAATGAAACAAATGCACCTGACAGTCTCTTGCGCAGTCGGTGTGGTGTCGTGGAGATGAACTGCACCTTCTTTCCCTGATTAGACATAAGAATATATATATGTGAGTAAAACACAACCACATGTAAACATGTATGTTTGGCACAGAAACACACGAGTTCACCTTCTGAGGGGTTTTGCTCTGATTGGCTGATTCTGTAGTGGATAAACAGAGAAAATCAGAGTCAGTCAGTTTTTAAACTGAGAACGAGAGAAGAAAACAAACCGCAGGATCAGGACAGACTTTGAGCGGTGCGTGTCGGGCTGGACGACTCCTCGTTTGTGTCTGATGTGCAGAAGGTCACGCTCTTCCCAGGCGTTCGAGACCATTCAGACGCTACACAAACACACCACAAGGACAATATTTGGCTGAGATACAACTATTTGAAAATCTGGAATCTGAGGGTGCAAAAAAATCTAAATATTGAGAAAATCATCTTTAAAGTTGTTCAAATTAAGTTCTTAGCAATGCATATTACTAATCAAAAATTAAGTTTTGATATATTTACGGTAGGAAATTTACTAAATATCTTCATAGAAACCTGGGCCCGTGTTCACAGAACATTTTATCTTCCCACTAAGAGTTCCCCTAAATAGCATTAAAAGTTTTTAGCTAAGAGTTTTCTCTTAAAGCTGCAGAGACAAACTTGTATTAAGGAATAGTGAGAAGTCTTAAACTCAGGATATTATGTTGCCATATTCAAATAAAGATTTTAAAATGCAGGCTAAGTGTCACTAATTAAACAAGTATATGTTCAGCTAACTGTCAGCCTCTTAGATGTGTGCTTCTCGTAAACAATTAGTGGATATGCATATAAACAGCCTTTTAATTAACAGAGTGGAATAATCATGGCTGATAGTAAGACATGCAAACGTAAAAGAAAACCAAACTGGACTCAAGAACAGCTGTTACTTCTTCCCTAACTGTTTAATGAAAACAAGGATATAATCAAAGGAACATTTAGAGTTGGGATAACCTCCAAAACCAAAGGCGATACCTTTATAAAAGCTCATTATTGTCAAATGTTTCTAAAATTGCCGGAAACAGCAGTTTTAGGATAGTTTGTGGCTTAGGAGTCCTCTTCACTGCTCCTAACCTTTCACAGATTTAGGAGCTAGTTTTAGAGCTAAAACACTTTTTACAAAATTTAGGACTGACACGCCCATTATTTTTAAGATTTTCTCCTAAATCGACGAGTTATGAGCTACTTATAGCCTTGAGATGTTTTGTGAATACAGGCCCTGATCGTTACTTAATATCCTAATGATTTTTGGCATAAAAGAAAAATGGATAATTTTGACCCATACAATGTATTGTTGTCTATTGCTACAAATATGACTAGTTTTGTGCTCCAGGGTCACAAATGTATTATTAGTGTGTATGCAAACTGAACAGCTGACAAGTGTTTATTCACCCATCTGAGCCATTTTATTGCCCCGCTTGATGGTCTGAAACGAGAAGACAGATGATCCCGCAGTGACGGTGCCATTTTCACTCGTATCTGGGAAATAAACAACCAATGAGAAGCTAGAATTACAACATCAGGATTCACACCGAGCGATCATTATACTGTGAAAAGCGTGCGTTATCGGTCAGTATCTAAGGCTGTTAATAGTCACCTTGTGATCCGGTGCACAGAGCATCCACATAGCTCTGCTCATTCAACACCTCTTCGTCATCTTCATCATCATCATCCTCAGGTCTTTTGGATTTCTGCTGTGCTTTTACGGTCACCAGCGTCTGCACGGATCCATCCGCTGCTTTTATATCTAGAATCACAATGCAAAACTTTTATCAGTAATCATAAAAACACAAATAAAGTATAATACATACATATTAATAAACTAGATAAAAACACATTTAAACCAAAAATACATCAATAAATAATATATAATGTATAACATACATTAATAAACTAACTAAAATAAGTAAATACATTAAAACAATAAATACATACGCAAAAATAAATGCTTAAATATCATAACATATTTTTAAATATTATATATGAAACAAATAAACAAAATGAACAAAGCATGATATTTTAATAAACTAAATAAAGCTAAATATATCAGTAAGTATATGAATATAAATACACAACTAAACAAAATACAGCAATAAATACATAATATATAAAGTATAACATATTAATTACGTAAGCAAACCAATAAATGAATGAATATATATATATACATATGTGTGTGTGTAAAATATAAATATAAAATGTACCACCATAGTATTACAGTATTACAGAAATGACTGGTTATATAGTAATTTATAGTTAAATGAGTGTCTTTAAAGTTTTGTTAAAACACACAAACACCGATCTTATGCCGCTTTTAATATAAAACTGAGGAGAAGCGCTTTTACCTTGCTGTTTCTCTACAATATGATCCAAAACATCTTCATCAGCGACGAAGCGAAGCTCTAACGGCTGTTTCTGCGCCATCCTGCGACTTTAAACTGTAATATCTGTCCCACATACACGCTTACTAATATTTGTTTCGATAATAAAACTAAATCTTGCTCAAATCGATCCGTTGAAGTCCTGAGGTAAACTGCGCTCGATTCCGCGCCACAGGAAATATTCTAACCCACGTGTGACAGGAGGACGGTCACGTGAGTCGCTCCGGCCAATTAGAATCAGGCTCCTTTGAAAAACTACATCTCCCATAATTCCAAGGTCGACGTCGTAAATAAAAATTATTTTTATTTTAATTTTAGTTCAATTATGTCTGAATTTATTATGTCTGTATAGGTATTTAGTTGTATTTAATTTTAGTTATTTTAATACTTCAACAAACTAAATGGAAATTAAATCATATATATATTGAATTTATAAATGTGTATATATATATATATATATATGTATGTGTGTGTGTGTGGTTGTACATAGACATATATGTAGTAGTTGTTTTTTTTAGTGTTATATTAGAATCATTATTATACTCCTTTTCTCTCCTTATACTCCTTATATACCTTTTGTTCTTTAATATTTTGAATTGTTTTTAGCTTGTTTTTAATTTTAATGTTAAGTTTTGAAATTTTGTTGTATGCATTTGTCATTTTCATTTAATTTCTTAAGTATAAGTAGTATTTATAAAGTTTTAGCTTTTAGTTTTGGATCTGTGTTTAGTTGTTTTAATGCTTCAATTGATTGCTTCTGTTGTCCTCATAAAGATTCCCTTTCAATATTATATGATATTCATATTCACTGATACAGAAATGTCATTTGATAATGTTCTGACCAGTTTCGGATTTTAAATGTCACTGGAGCGATCTGAGGATTATATTCAGCCTTTCACACACGAAGCGGGTTATTGTAAGGAATATGTTATTTTATAAGTATATGAAATATAAAAGGGCATTTCAGGTTCTGAATTAAAAAACAAATATAATGCAATGCACACTGTCAGTGCACAAAATAAACAATGTAAAAAAAAAAGATTACTGTTATTCTGTAATTTTTAAAAACTGGTTTTTATTTTCAGAGTTCAGCTGAATGATAAAGTTTAGTCTCTTTAACTTTATGTAGTTCTGCTGTTTTGTGTTCTTAAACTATAAATCACACAGACGCAGAAATCCTTAAAGTGAAAATTCATATTTTATTGGTTCCATACATTAATTGAATCAAGGGCAGAAATGAAGAAAACTAAGTTATATCAAACAGGAGCATCTACAAGGTTAAAGGTGGAAAAGATCACCAGTTTGTTTCAAGTGCAGACCTTTAATTAATTCAGATAGATTGAGCTGGTCAGAAAGAGAGAGGAAATAATAATCAAATAGTACAAAAATGTGATTAGTCTGAGTTTCAGCAGTATTGGGTGTGTGTGTGTGAAATAAAACAACTAACATGTTACTGAAACATGACTAGCTGATCACAGTTGGTCTCCCTTAAACACACGAATAACAGAAGATGAAGAAACAGACGAACACTGAAGTCTGCGGCAGAAACGGATTTCATCAAAATCTGAAACAATCAGGCAACAAACACAGACTGTGCCCTTGATTTCAATTCATCAGTCGTATGCAAATTATAAAAATAATCAAGAGGGGAAAAGACGAGGTTGGTGTGTTTTCATTTTTCACGTTTTGCTTTTTTTTTTTTTTTTACACGTTAGATCAGAATGGCTTTATGTAACTCTAAGGAGGAATACATCTCAATACAGTTATACAGAACTCTGCTACTACCTTAAATATACAAGCACAAGTACACGAAAACCAATCAGAGCCCACGCTAAACCACTCTCTTTAAACATAGGACAAACCAATAGAATCTGAGGCTTGAAATCTTTAAGGACCTCGACGGTTCGGTTACTCCTTGGTTTGCAGCTTTCAACATCGGTAAAGAAAGAAACCAAAATAATCAAATAAAACATTCTAGGGAAATAGAGGCTGGTATAAAACACGGATACAATTCTCCAAAACGCTCTTGATGTGATATTAAACATCCTCCAGCAATCAGAGGAAGATGTGAGACTGCAAATTAATCGGTTGTGTTTGATATTTTACTCCAAACATAAGAAACGACATTTTGCTGAAAGAAAATATCTAGCCTACTATTAGAACCATTAGTTTGTTTGCATTAAAATGATGATGAAACATTTTCCCTCAGAAAATTCTCATTACTGTAATGCAAAACAAGAGAATAAGAACGCTAGTGTTTTGATTTATGCAGATTCACATTTAAAAAAAAATTCTCTCATTGCAATACAGTAACGAAACTATGGAAGCTAATTAAAAAATTCAAAAGGTAATTGTGACTTTTTTCTTGCAATTCTGACTATTTTTCTCAGAATTGAGAGATAAACTCGCAATTGCAATTTCAATTCAGAGGAAAAAGAACATTTTCGTACAATTTTAGTTTATATTTTGAGTTATCACCAATTTTGAGGAAAAAAAACAATTGTGAGAAGTCGCAGTTGCAAGAAAAAAAAAATCTGAATTATGAGATAGTCGCAATGGCGAGAAGTCAGAATTGTGAGAGAAAATGTTGCATTTGCGAGAGAAAAAAAAAAGTCAGAATTGCGAGACAAAAAGCAGCAATTCTGAGAAAAAAATTCAGAATTGAGATAAAAAGTTGCAATTGCGAGAAGTCACAAATCGTGAGATAAAAACTCACAATTGCAAGAAATAGTCAGAATCGTAAGATACAAACTCGCAGTTGCGAGAAAAAAAGTCAGAATTTAAAAAAAAATTCTGAGGGAAAGAAAAGTCTGAATTGTGAGATAGAAAGTTGAAGTGACCTTTTTTATTTTTATTCAGTGGCGGAAACAAGTTTCCATACAAAACAGTATTAAAAGTGAAAATTATCTTAAAAAAAAAATCATATTTTCCTCATGCAAAATGTCATTTCTTGTGAGTGAAACAGGAGCTGGATATTTCTTGGTCTTGTTGGCGTTTTACGTGGTCAGATTTCTCTGCTTCATCTTAACTTAAACATATGAACTATCTACAGGCTCCTCATAAATCACCAACAAAACCACGAGTGTGTGAATAAAAACTGTCCTGTGTCGAGTAAACGGTTTCTGTTGTGGTGTGACGCTCATCTCTGGTCCTCCAGGTTCACTTCCTCTGCTGACAGGAAGACCAGCTACTGCAGGTAGATGAGTCGACCGTACCTCTTTCTTCCCATTGGATGCCCGACGCTCCCTGGCCCCGCCCCGAGTCTCACTGAGACGCCTGTGAGGTGGGGTTGTCGTTCTTGCCCTCCTGGCTGGATGGAGGCTTGTTGTTCCAGGGGCTGTTGGCTCCCAGCGCGGGCGAGTTGTTAAAGCTGTCCTCGTCGTCGATGCCGTTAGCCGCGTCGAACTGTGTGTTCTCCAGCCGCGTGATCAGACGCTCGTCCTCGTCCCCGAACTCACCGCCCATCAGTGTGGGCTCGCCCACCACCATCACGTCCTGAGCACACCAAAACAGACCATTAGCATTAGAAACGCCATTTAGGGGAAAAAAATAGGTTATATGTATATATAGACTATTTTTGGCACAATAAATTTCTCTCTCTCACAGCATTTTTACACAAGTGCCTAAAACTTTTAACAGCACTGTAGCTTTTGCAGGTAGGTTTCTTGAAGCGTCTTGGAGACAGAGTTCTTCTGGATTGAGTCTGTCTCAGTTTGTTCTGTTTCTTCATGTGACTCCAGACAGACTGATGATGATCAGATCAGATCTCTGTGTGCAGCACAAACATATATCTCACTGCATTATTACAATTAATGGCCAAATTCCTTGCACAGAACAACCTCCTGGACAGCAACCAATCTGGCTTCAAAAGCGGCCACTCAACTGAGACTGCCCTGTTCTCGGTTACTGAAGCCCTGAGACTGGCAAGAGCAGCTTCCAAATCCTCAGTACTCATCTTGCTGGATCTGTCTGCTGCTTTTGACACAGTTAACCACCAGATCCTCCTGTCCACCCTCATGAAGATGGGCATCTCAGGAACTGCACTCCAGTCTTACCTCTCTGGTAGGTTCTTCAGGGTGTCTTGGAGGGGTCAGGTTTCTAAGTCACAATTTCTTGCTACTGGGGTTCCTCGAGGCTCAGTGCTTGGACCCCTTCTTTTCTCCATCTACATGTCATCTTTAGGATCCATCATTCAGAAGCATGGCTTTTCCTATCACTGCTATGCTGATGACACTCAACTCTACTTCTCATTCCAACTAGATGACCCGACAGTAGCTGCACCTAAACCCGCTAGTTCAGACCTACGCGCCCTCCAGAAGCTTGCGTTCTGCAAGTGAACGAAGCCTCGTGATGCCATCCCAAAGAGGCACAAAATCACTCTCACGGACCTTTTTCTGGACTTTTCCCAGCTGGTGGAACAACCTGCCTATCTCAATCCGAGCAGCTGAGTCTTTAGCCATTTTCAAAAAACATCTAAAGACACATCTTTTTCACCATCACCTGACCAATTAATACTAGCACTTACCTATTCTATTATATTCTATTCTATTCTATTCTATTCAGTCTAATAAAATCGCTCGTTGGTCTGATTGCTTCTACTTTGTAAGTCGCTTTGGATAAAAGCATCAGCTAAATGACTAAATGTAAATGTAAACTTAAAACCATTTCTTAGCCGCTGAAAATCCTAGTGTTCTAATAATTTTGGCCACCACTGTACATATATTATAAACGACATAAATGTATAAATATACATTAGGGGTGTAACGTGGAATTTAACTTAACAAAAGTAACAATATATTAAACTTTAAGTTTCCAGTCAAGTTCTGCTCGTGCAGTAGTTAAAACAATGCTGTACTTCTTCGGTACACATGCATACCGAACCGAAAGACCCGTACCGAAACGGTTCGGTACGAATACGTGTACCGTTACACCCCTAATATACATGCATACATATTAGGGATGTGCAACAGCAATCGAGTACTCAGCCGTGACAGCGATGATAGATCATAAAAACTATGATCGTGGAAAAATATATATTTTTATAGTTATAGCAGCACTTTGGGCTCTGATTGTTTAGCTGGCCACAGCATGCGGTCCAAAGTATAGACGTGAGAAAAGAAAGAAGCATGGCTTCGAAGTCACATAGTGATGTCTGGGTTAGCTACATACATATCTGATTCATTTAACCTAGGATGCGTTGGGATATTAGCATTTATTAACATGCTGAATGCGCAGCATATTACCAGTGTTTTGTGCTCAAATGCAATGCCCAATATTGACAGAGTTATTTGAGACGGTCATATTGCTTTTAGATGTTTCTTTTTTTTAAATACTGATGTTATAATAATGCATCAGTGCCTTTTTCATCATATTTGTTCAACAGCATACTTCAATTAAAATTGTTTTCGTACGGCACATGCGATTTCAGGAATCACTTGATAATGTAGATGAAAATATAGCTCAAATCTGCCAAAAACATAGCATTATAATGAGAACTTTATAGAATGTGAAATCTATAGTAAATTCCTTGCCCGTGTTTCAGCGCGCTGTTATGAAAGCGCATCAAGGTGGGAGCTCTCTCTCTCTCACTCGCTATAGGGTGTAACTTAGTTCACTGGCATTTCATAAACACAGCATTATAATTAGAACTTTATAGAATGTGAAATCTATAGTAAATTCTATCTGCTTTCCTTGCAGCGCTGCTTTCTCTCTCTCTCGTAACTGAAAGTTCACTGGCATTTGCATCCTTTTGTGCAGATACAAGTTATAATGTTACGTCTATGTTATGTATCTAAGTTATCTGATTAATATCATGGGAAGTGTCATAGAACGGGCTTCAGTTTATTGGCATAAAGTCACTCTTTAGCTTCACCCCAGGCAGCTATCCCTCTTTAGATGCTTCTTTTTTAATAACATTGCTGCATCATAATTATAATCTAACAGTGTTCTAATCATGTGTTCATGTTTTCATAGACAGGTTTTCATGTCATATTTTTATTTTAAAAACATTCATTTTCATAACAGTCTTCAGATATTTTCATTATCTCCATTACGGCCATGCCCCGCCCCCCGGAGTACTCGATTACTCGTTTTTGAAACCTATCGATAACCGAAATGAGAAATTGCCAAAAATGCCCATCCCTAATACATATATTTTATTTAAAAATCATTTTTAAATTACAAATGTGTTTTGACTGGCTAGCTTTTGTTACTTCAGTAAACTGACTGTTAACTGTTGCGTGTGTTTATGCTGTAAGATGACGCGTGATTGGTTACTCACTGGGACCTGACTGGACAGCGGGAAACTGTTTGCTGGGCTCTTCTTCTTGCTGTTGCTGTTGTTATTGGAGCCGCCGCCGGCGCTCATGTTGCTGCCGCCCGACATCTTGCGCTTCCGTCTCTTACTCGGCGCCTGTCTGGCCGGCTCAGCTGCGGAGAGATGCGACACACACGAGCTCAAGCACACACTACACAAACACCAGCAGAGTTTCTGAGAGACACGAGCGCCTCCTGACCTGGAGGAGCCACCATCCTCTGCCACTTCTGGAACAGACACGTCTTCAGACAGTCTCTGGGACTCAGACTGTACGTCTTGTGTCTGGACATCAGCTCCTGCATGGGCTCCAGGATCACACACAACTGAGACGGAGACGCACAAAAAGACACGTTACTAATAGGGCTGTCAAGCAATTAAAATGTTTAATGCAATTAATTACATGCTGTGCAGATTAATCTAAATACTCGCAAATTAACTGGACATCAATTTGGGCTACGAAATTACCCCACAAAAGATCATTTACAGTCATTATTGTGTTAGATGAGAAAAGCATTGAACAGACACGAAAAAAAGTAACTTTAAAAACAAATATTTTGATTCATAGCATTTAGGAGTATTTACACAAAATGTATTAGATTTGCACGAATAATGCTGAATGGGTTTTAAATGGGCATTAATGGGTTTTAAAAAATGTGAAATATGAAATTAGTTTTTTTTTTTATGTGCCAGTAGGTGGCAGCGAGGCGCTGTCTTAATGAGGGAGTCATTCAGTCATTCATTCAACTGATTTGTTCAAACAGCTGATTCATTCAGACGAAGCAAGTCTTTATGAATGAGTCACTGAATCATTGACTCACTTGATTTGTTCAAATGGCTGATTCATTCAAAAACAAAGCAAGTCCCTGCATCTCAATGTTCATACTATCCATCCTAAATAGTATGTGAGATTAGAATAAGTGTGTCCCAAAGCATAGTATGTTGAAAAGAGTATGCCAGAAGTCCCCGGATGGTCTACTATTTCAGGTCGATTTTTGAAGTGTGGATCCGTGCACACTCTAATGGCTAAAATTGCCCACAATCCATTGCGCTTTGGCAAAGGATTCGGTCCAGAACTACAAACACGAATAAAACACGTTAGAAAAACTACAAAAGTGGCGGATGCGCGAGATCGACAGTTAGGTAGAGAGGTTTACAAAAAGGGGTTTGAGTTACTAATAATCAACATTTAACCGTGTTATATTTCATCTGCAACTGCAATGTGAACTTTTATAAACATCCATTTGGTCGTTAACTTTTAAATGCATCCCTACGCAGAAAATATGAGCAGAGTTCTCCGCATTAAAGACCCGCGACTGGCAGATCAATGTGCTACTTCTTTTCTCTCCAGTACGGTAGGAAGTTAAATTAAATTAAATGTGGAGGATGTTAACTGTGGCAAGATGATTGACAGGCCAGTTTACAGTGACAGGGTGCGTGTAACAGGTGCGACAGAGCGGTCCGTTAAAGACGCAGTTGTGTGATGTGATAGTATGTCCCAAAGCTTGCCTACTCTTCTACTACACACTCAAAAGTGTGTACTTTTTCTTCACCAAAAGAGTACATACTTTAAGGGCGTTGTATAAGTAGGCACATTGAGACGCAGCAAGTGACTGTCTTCATGAATGAGTCATTGAATCATTGACTCAATTCATTTAAACAGCTGATTCATTCAGAAATGAAGCAAGAGACTGATCTTTATGAATGAGTCAGTGAATCACTTGTTCACTTGATTTGCTCAAAACTGTGGATTTATTCAGTAATGAATCACTGCTGTATGTTGATCAGATGTGCAACAGTTCTGCTTTGTTTTGAATTTTAGAGGTATACAACTGTATTCTGCTTCATCATGCAGTCAGTTGTCCTGCATCATGTTTGTTAACAATGTAAGATGATGTACAGGTCTGGCGGGTGAGTTAAATGCGTTAATCATTTTAACACATAATTTTTTCAATAATGAATCGCACCAAATTAATGTGTTAAATCGACAGCCCTAGTTACTAATCAGCTGAATGAAAGCTGTAGAAGACGTCACAGTGTTGTGTTATGGTGTTCGTACTCGGAGGTAGTTGAGGGTGGAGTTTGACAGGCCGCATCTGGTGATGTTTTTGGACAGCTGATCCAACATCTGCGGGTCCTGAGCCTGAGACGGACACAAAATCACACCATCATCAGGTATGAAACACCAGCTAGAAGAAGAAACGCTGTGAGGTGCAGGAAGAGGAACTGACATGCATGGCCAGGATGCTGCGGGGAATGAGCTCCCTGTGCTGCCGGATGCTGAAATGCCACGTCTTTATTCTCATCATGTCATCGAACATGAACTCCAAGTACAGACGGCCCTCCACACACACCTGAGGAGACCAGCAGAGTTACACACACACCACAGAATCATCCCGCTGAACTAGGGCTGCACAATAAATCGAAATGAAATCGCAATCGCGATTAGGCTAAAGCTGCATAGGGCTGGGACAATAAATCGATGCATCGCGATTCGTGGATCGATTCTGAGATTTTCGGAATGCATCGTGATTCTCTCTCGAATCGATTCTGAGCTTAGTTTTTAACAGCAGATGGCGCTCTAGGCTAGTTTTTAACCGCACACTCAAATGCTCACGAAGAAGAGCGCTTGTGCATTCGGCTGAGTAATGTAAGTGGTTAAATGTACTTCCACATCGGCTTTTATGATGCGAGATTAATGTAAACAGCCCATTGTGAACATCTTTGTAATTCGCTTCAACCTTTTCGAACTTTATGAATCATTATTATTCTCTCTTGAATCGATTCTGAGCTTAGTTTTTAACAGCAGATGGTGCTCTAGGCTAGTTTTTAACCGCACACTCAAATGCTCACGAAGAAGAGCGCTTGTGCATTCGGCTGAGTAATGTAAGTGGTTAAATGTACTTCCACATCGGCTTTTATGATGCGAGATTAATGTAAACAGCCCATTGTGAACATCTTTGTAATTCGCTTCAACCTTTTCGAACTTTATGAATCATTATTTTAGGTGGTGCGTGTATAAGGAACTGGAAGCAAGCAGAATACGGCTATTTCTAAAGCACGCAAGTGCCATCTGCTGTTAAAAACTAAGCTTAGAATCGATTCAAGAGAGAATCACGATGCCTTCGGAAAATCTCAGAATCGATGCAGAATCATTTCTCGATTCGCGACGCATGGATATATTGTCCCAGCCCTAAAGCTGCAATTGTCGTGCGCATCTTGTCAGTGAAGCACAGTTCTGTGATCAGCAGTAAAAGATCTATCTGAAGGCCAGAGAAACTCCAAACACACCTCGCAGAAGAAATCCAGGAAATCCCTATCGCAGCAGCTGAATAAACAGAAGATTTAACTGCTTTCATTGATTCAGCGTTACTAATAAACACACGACTACCACAATATGATTTATCTGAGTTCTTATTAGAATTATCATTATAATTTTCATTATAACAAAGTATATAATAATGCAATGCCTTTATCACTGCTTAGAATACTATGAAATATGTTGTGTGCCTTATTCTGTGTAAGAAGCCACATCATCTCACAGAAGGATTTATTTCAAATACTCGACAGACGTTATGAAGTGAGTTTGGAGTAAAAACACGTTATTAAATGTGGTATTTTTCAGATGAAGCAGCATTTAATACAAGGAGCCGTAGTTCACTGAGAAGCTACGCAAACAGCTTTCATAATCGCAGAACGATTTCTTCGATTTCATAATCGCGCGATTAGATCATCTGAATACGATTTTTGCGTAGCTTGTCAATGAACTACAGCTCTGTGTAGTAAACGCTGCTCCATCTGAAAGCACGTGCTGGAGATTTACTACTAATCACAAAACCGGCTTTACTGACGAGATGCACATGACAATCGCATTCGATTAATCGTGCAGCCCTACGCTGAACGTCACATTAAACATCACATACACACACACCTGTGTGAACATGGGTTTGCCGTTCTGCGTGACCATCGTACACTGATCACAGTCCAGAGACACAAAGTTGCTGTGGAAGGACTCTTTAGGGTGCTTGAGAATGTAGTAGAGCTCAGTGGCGCCGCCTTCAAACACACTCCTAAAGTAACGAGGAATCAGCGTCCGGCCGATCGCTGTGAGACACAATAAGGCATACATGAGGACAAGGAACCAATTTAATTCTTAAACATACTGGTTGTTATTTCATGAGAATCTGTAACTAAATGTGAACAGTTGACAGTTACTGTGCCATTTAGTGTCATTTTTCATAATTCCTATAAATAACTCAAACCTTAATTACAGCTGGTAATGTTTGTCTCAAGCAATCCGATCATTCAAACCAAATTCAGACGTTGCATCCTATTTGTAGTGCAAATAACACCATTTGCTGAATAAAATACAATACTAGTTTCTTGCTAATTTTGAGGTGTTGATTCCAAAAATAGTATGTTTTGCTCAATCATGTCATACTTTTGTACAAAATATGATGCATTTTGTAGCATTTTTGCTTTTGACAACCATTTGTGCAGTGAAGTCGTCTTATATTGTCCTTATTCAACAGAAAAGCACCACAAACACATGATTCTGGTCTGAATTTCTTTTAATTGAACTTACTTTACAGCACTTTGGTCAACTTAGTGGTTTTATTAGGTGCTTTATAAATAAAGTTGGAGTTGGAGAATTTAAGCCAGATCACAACTTTCTGTTCAATTTTCACATGCAGGACAATCACATGCATTATTTAATGCCTAATCCTGATTTCAAACTCTGAATTATGGCCAGTGAAAATGCAAACGTGAGCCAGATGTTTTCTGCTGCATCTGCAGGAGTCTTACTGCATCCAAACAAATTACAGATTTTGTAAAAAAAATAAAAAAAAATAATAATAATAAATAACTTATTTTGTAAAGTTTGTGACATTAAATTAACAGATTTTCCCACTCCTTTGTAGATTGTAAGTTAAATGTTAAATTTTGAATATTTATTGTTGTCATTAAAACTTTTTGACATCTGACTGCTTTTGTTATTTTGATAAGTGCATTACAGCTGATACATATAAAATTTGAAGTTCTAGTATTTTTTTTTACTCAATGGCATAATGAGTAACATGCACACTGTAAAAAAATATTTTTTTAGAGTTGTAAATTAAACAAAACTTTTTTTTTTACAAGAAAGTACTACTTCGGTTTTTCTACTTCAAAATTTCACATTTAATTCAATGTGTTACTTGCCTTTTTGTAATTATTTGTGAAATTTACTAACAATTTCTAAATGAAAACTGTTTCAAAGTAAATCCTACACATTTTTTTCAGTGTAGTCATGAGTTACATGGTAACGCCAAGTGCAAACTGTCTCAATAGACCACTTGCGATCGGATCACCTGACACAGATCTTAATCTCAGGCCTCAATGTCTCTAGATACATTTATTGAGAATCATTTAACACAAACATCTTTAAACGTCTGATAAGTGATACTCACTGTATCGTTTAGGACCGTCCTCCAGACAAAATGTGATGGTGAGCATAGCATCATCCTCAAAGAATTCAGTAGTGAAAGAGTCCCACCACAGATTATCACACTCCTGAGAGAGAAAAACAGTAAGAGACGGCTCTCTGATATCATTCATCTGAAGCCGATAGATGTTTCTGTGCTAGCGTTATAGGGTTTATGTCAGGCATATCAAAAGCACCTTAAATTATTAAAATGTTTAAAGTGCTGATAGTTAAGACTGAGAAAGACAGAGCTATAAATGTAAACAGAAAAGCAGATCTGCCTCACCTCTGTCCAGTTCTGAAGCCGTTTATTGAGTTCAAATATCCTGTAGTCTGTCTGATTCCCGTAAGGTGTGTGTCTTCTGAGAAATAGACTGTTTTAACACTCACAGACAAACACTGAGACTTCATGAACTTTATATACACTAATAGAATCAACATAGTAGGGCTGTCAAAAAAAATTTTGAATTTCGAATATTCTTCGAATTAAAAAAAAAATCGTTTTTGCATTCGAATTTTAGGTCTGTGTCAGCCGTCACAGTGGCGCACGAAATGCGACGACGATGTAAGTGTCATTGCATTTTAATGCTTTTGTTAGCCTATCCAGTTGAACCTTTTTATACAGTCTATGAGTTGAACCCACTAGATGCGGCGCTGCTTCTTTGTTCATTCAATATATTGCGGAAAACGAGAGCATCAGTTTGGAGAAGATGTTGTTTACGTCAAAACTGAAACCAAGCCATTCACACAGAACGCATATTTATCACATTTTCTAGAGGGACATCTATCAGCGTTGCACTCGCGTCTCACACAAGAGAGCCACATGTTTAGAAAGCCATGTAAAATTAATATAAGTTCAACTTTTAAAAAAACATGTCTCAAGACTTCATGGCGGTTTTCCCCATCCCACTGCATCTCAAGTTTTTAAATGAAGTAGCAGCCTACTTTGATCATATTTAAGTAGAAAATTCTAATTTAGTTTTTCAGTCATTCTGACAGCCCTACATCATAGTGCTTATAATAATAAATATTCTAATAAAGAACCTGCATGTTTTAACAGCTACAGTATCACGTTTGATACTCAAGGCCTCTAAATGATCAAACTTTGTTTCACACACAATCTCCTCATGTCTTCTGTCTCTGATTGATAGTTTAGAGTGTTTTATCCAGTAAAAGCTCTTTTAGTGTAATTGTACAAACGCTTCTAGTGTCAAATCTTGACTGATTTTTATCAAGTAAGAGTCAGAATAACTGCAGTAATATCTCCAGATGAACACTTACTGGACTGAAGCAGCTCAGCTTTACTTGATTCTCCATCAATCATGTTTTAGAGTCTCAAATCTGATCCTCAGGATCTTTTGAGGAGCGTTTGTTTCCAGAAGCTTTACTTTCACTGTTCCTCAGCGGAGGAATGATCTTCACAAGCCTCCAGAACATCTCACATCTTCTGAGGAGCCTTTATTTCTTCAGCTCTCGATCACCGCATTATATGTTTGGAGCATTTCAATCTCATCTTACTGAGACACATTACTGGAGATACAGAGCGATGACTGATCTTTAGATCATTTTATGTCAGTATCTGCTGCACTGTTATAAAGATCTCTGTGATTTACAAGCATCAGAATTTCATCACAGAAATACCAGCATCTGCACCCAAGTCATATTTCTGCTCAGTTTGAGTCTCTGAATAAAATTGAGCCGTTTTTTCCTCCATATTCTCACTATATCAGACTATATGAGGCATAAAAACCTGATGATCAAATATGATACAAATAAATGATATTTTAAATAAAATAAAGACGCGTAAATGTGAGACTTGTCATAGCATTTGCGTATCATTGCTCTCTTGTTGATTTTGATTGCTTCCATTGTCCTCACTTGTAAGTCGCTTTGGATAAAAGCATCTGCTAAATGACTAAATGTAAATGTCTCACCCAATGCCTGGCTCCAGGTATGTGGGGGGATACATGGGCGTCGGGCTGCAGAAACAACACAAAGCAAATAACCATGAAAGATCATGTCAAACCTCACAAAGCTCACATAACATGCTTTATAAACGCACACATGAGGTCATAAAGCAGACTGTAACACATCCAGACACTGTGAAGTGAGCAAGTGCAGTTCTCTGCCTGTAGGCACCATCACAATCAGGAAGAGAGTCGTTTTCTGCATTTATCAATGTGCCAGAGTAGATATGACACCCGCTAGACTTTACTGCCCTGCCACAAGGGAAGCCCCACCCACTTCCTGGACACTGATTGACAGCTGGCACTTCCTGCTCCCGCTATCTGACAGAAACATCCACTGACTGCTGATGCAGCTGAACGCTCTTCTGTCCTCACAGACGCTCACAGGAACATCACAAGTGACTGATTTGAAACACTCTCCATTAACGGCCACTCATGCACATCATAAATTATTCTTTGTGGATAGTTTTTAGTACTATATATTAGGGCTGTGCAATTAATCAAAATACAGTTTCGATTTCGGGCTCCAATGATTATGAAAATACAATAATCGAGATAAAACGATTATTGCAACCCATTCCGCCCCCTTTCCAGCGGTGCGCTTTAGCTCCTCCATAAATCCCAATTTCACGCGCAAATCAGTAAAATCGTGTAACGTGACTTTTGCAAAATGGGACGTGCTTGATTTATTTAAGTTGATTATATGTATTCATGTTTTTAAAAGCGTGAAAGAGAACTTGCGCTGTTCCTCGGGAGGATTTCTGTGGATGCACTCAGAACACGGACATAGTCATCTTTTAACTCAAGGTGCGCGCCTAAAGGGTCAAATACACGCTAAAAATGTGTCAAAATGCGGCGCTTAGTGGTTATTCATGTAAACCCTCGCCGGTCATGTAATAAATGAACGTAAACAGTTGAGAATGAAAATACATGTGTAACAGTAAATTGAATCAGTGCGGCTCTTAAAGTGATAGCAGCCTAATCTTCCTGCTGTGACTGTGTGCTTAATATTAATCAAACAACAAAGACAAAGACAAAATCACTCACTGCTCTTGATTGAAGGATTTTTTGTAGCTTTAATAAGTAACAAATGAAGTTTAATTATTACAGTGAAGACTATGTTGTTTTATTTTAAATTAGATTATTCATAAATGTGACCCTGGAGCACAAAACCAGTCATAAGGGTCAATTTTTTGAAATTGAGATTTATGCATCATCTGAAATCTGAATAAATAATCTTTCCATTGATGTATGGTTTGTTAGGATCGGACAATATTTGGCCGAGATACAACTATTTGAAAATCTGGAATCTGAGGGTGCAAAAAAATCCAAATATTGAGAAAATCATCTTTAAAGTTGTCCAAATTAAGTTCTTAGCAATGCATATTACTAATCACAAATTAAGTTTTGGCATATTTACAGTGGGAAATTTACAAAATATCTTCATGGAACATGATCTTTGCTTAATATCCTAATGATTTTTGGCATAAAAAATGTTGGTTAGTGTGCATCAATTAAAGCAGCGCATTAATATAGACTGACTTGGAACTACCTGTGCATTAAACTTTTTTACTGCATACCTGCCAGCCAATCAGAATCCAGCATTCAGACAGACCATGGAATAAATATATATATTGCTATCTTTAAATAAATTATTCATTTAAAGTTTTGGTCATATGGCCCACTCATAATCGTGATTACAATACTGACCAAAATAACCGTGATTATGATTTTTGTCATAATCGAGCAGCCCTACTATATATTTATAAGCGAGTTATAATATGCCTTGATTCTGAGCTGATTCTGCTTTTGAAACAGACGGACTCACCCCACGTCTCTGTCCAGCATGGTGCCGGGGTGGAAGGGGGGGAAAGCGCTTCCGTTGGGGGGCTCCTTTGGGGAGTACAGCTTGAACGACTTGGAGGAACAGCCTGCGCGGGGAGAGAGAGAGAGATGAACATGTTCAACATTCATTAGTCAAACATCAGGAGAATTGAATGAATTCACATTCATATCAGTACACAGAGATACTAAAACTTCATTAAGAGTGGGAAACATCACAAACACGCATCCTCAAGTGGTTTAATACTATTATAAATGGTCGCAACAACTATAAAATAATTATTTGTTCATTACAAATAATTACAATAAAAGCAATGCAATAAATACAATATAGTTGATTAGCCTAACTGTAGGATTTGTAGTTTTGCAAAATCACCAAGGCTGCATTTATTTGATCAAAATACAGTACAAATTGAGACATGTTATTATAATTTAGCTGTTTTCTATGTGAATATCTGTTGAACTGTAATGTATTTCTGTGATGCGCAGCTGTATTTTCAGCATCATTACTCCAGTCTTCAGTGTCACATGATCTTCAGAAATCATAATAATATGCTGATTTGCTGCTCAAGAAACATTTCTGATTATTATCAATGTTGAAAACAGTCGTGCTGCACAATAATTTTGTGGAAGCTGTGATACATTTCATTTTTCAGGATTCACAGATGAATAGAAAGTTCAAAAGAGCAGCGTTTATTTGAAATAGAAATCTTTTGTGACATTATGAATGTATTTACTGACACTTTTGATCAATTCAATGCATCCTTGATAAATAAAAGTATTCATTTCCTTTTTTTTCTTAAATATTTCTTACTTCAAACTTCTTAATGGTAATATATCACTGTTTCCACAAAAGTATTGGGCGGCACAACGGTTTTCAACATTGATAATAATCAGAAATGTTTCTTGAGCAGCAAATCAGCATATTAGAATGATTTCTGAAGATCATGTGACACTGAAGACTGCAGTAATGATGCTGAAAATACAGCTTTGATCACAGAAATACATTACAGTTTAACATATTTACACAGACAATAGCTATTTTACTTTGTAATAATATGTCACAATTTTTACAGTAGTTTTGATCAAATAAATACAGCCTTGGTGAACAGAAGAGACTTCAGGCTATTCCAGTGCTGCATGCTGATTGTTCCAGTTATACTAATACACAGAGATGCTGATTTTGAATTGACCTTTATTGTGTGTGTGTGTGTGTGTGTGTGTGTGTGTAAAGACCCTAAAGCAGTAAAGACCCTCCATAAACAGAGTACAGGGGCGGAGGTCAGCCACACCCCTCACCGTCTCCATCCCGCCAATTAAACACATCTATAACATGATGCATTCAGCCACAATGAGGTCACGACCCCTGTTGTCGCGGGAACAGCTCCGCCTCATAATGACCACTTGACGTGTCTCACAAATAAATCTGAGAGCTGTCAACATCACGGCTCATAATAAAATGGAGGGCGATACGGCACAGCAAGACTCTTTAATTGAATTACACAAACAATACAAGAATGAAGGTGAAAAAGAACATTTAGTCATTTCACAGTAGCACTCAAAAACATGCCAAACTACAGGTACTGTATTCTGGAGATCACTGAAAATAATATAAAATTAAATTAAAATAAAATAAATAAATACATAAAGAAATGTATGTATGAAATGTGTGCAAATATATAAAATATAATATATATAAAATAAAATAAATAGTGCACAAATAAAATAAATTTTTAAAATTATCTTGATAAAAAATAAATATATATAAAAAAATTACATATAATAGAAATAATATATA